ATTTATGTTATTGTCATGGTACCAGCTTTAATCCACTCAAGGAGTTATAAGCTTGCACACTTTACTCTTCAACTAGAACAAATAACCCAGCTCTTCCACTCGAAAAAGAACTCTTCTAGTTGTTCCATAATATTTTCTTCATAGGAAACAACATGCACTATTGTTATAATACTATAAATAATTTTTGGTTCTATCATAAAGCTCTTAAGACTAAGAACCCCTACATTTATAAGTATTTCTTATCTGATGAGATAACTCGTAGCAAATTTCACTTATGGACAATATCCCCCCACAACTTTAGAATAATCCTGAAATTTTATATATGATATATTTCTTATGGTTTTCTAACTCTTGAAATACATATATTAAATATTTCACCTCATCTACCTTTCCAAGGTTCTATATTTACTTCTCAACAAGCATGTATAACAGTCTCTAGTGCATATGTATTCACTTCATCTCTAGTTTGTTCGTATAATATGTTACAGATGTTACTGTGAATTAATGCTAGAGGTATTAATTACAATGGGCTCAAATTAATATTTGCTTCTACATCTCTTGTATTGATGAATTGAGTTATTCATATTTAGGTTCATATTAAGTCAATCATATTAACATGTCATAACCTTTCATATGTCACACATCACATAACTCAATTATTTAAGCAAATAATTATCTTATTATTTAAGCTTTGGATACAATCACCATAGAGTGAGCACTCACTTCTCAGCTATTATTACTAGTTAAAAATGAGTTATTAACTATCATTACCAGCTTAGATTAAGTACACTCTTCTCGTATCTCACTACTAGGTTATAATGAGCACCCATTTTTTAGCTATTACCGCTAGCTTGAAGTTAAGTTTGTTTAACTATCAATTTTAGTAGTTCATAACTTTAGTACACACTTATCTAAGTAATTTATCTTGTTAGTTGAGTAATTTGTTTTGAAGAATATTCTTCAAAAACTACTACTTTACAAGTAGTATTAGTCCCTCCTACATGGACATATATGATGTATAGCTCAAATAACTAATGGCTAAAATGGCTACTCATCACCCTCATGTTTTTTACTATCAAGTTGAGAGCTAGAACCAACTAACAGTGTTTCATCTTCCTCTTAGGTTCTATGCACCTCATTAATCATTTTAACTTATAACTAAGCCAACTAGTTTGCAACTTAATAAAATTTTAGCTTTTAGCTAAATTGTACATTAGAGCTAACTAACTTGATTTAGCTTGTCTCGGTATACTTACTTAGTGTATCCAAAACATTTTTCATTAAACTCTTTAGAGTTATTGGAAAATCTTCTCTTAGTCAGCCCATTCACAACTATACGTATCTTAAACACTAGTATAGATCTTTTTCTTTTGACTATCGAGAGAATTGACATAGTTGGACTAGTCAATTTTTGTTTATTGTATTGATACACAAACTAGTCATGAACTCATATATAAAGTTATTAATATCACACATTAACTATATTGTAAAATTAAATTATTATGTACATTATGTAATTCAACTACATAGTTCAATATTATAGTATCAAATAAAAGTAAACATTTATAAAAATAATATTGAACTTGCATAACAATATAGTTTCATATTATATCACATAATTAATTATATCACATAATTAATATAAGAAATAATAATAATCAAGAGAAGAATTTGCTTCCTTAAAGTTTTGTGGCTTATTCTCCAATAAACATGCTAGAAAATCAGGAATAAAAGATTTAGACGTTTTAGCCTTCTTTCTACCTCTAAACTCATCTTTATTTTCATTGTATGATTTATGCACAAGAAAATGATATGCAATACTATTATGAACATAACCTATCAAAGGTTTTATGTGTGGGACTTTGCACTTGTAGTTCGCCTAGTGTGGTAGCCTGTCAGTGCCTCTTGCACCCGTCCATGACACTCTCACCTACAAGGTTATCACATTTTAGGTCCGCTCTAACTTTTTTAGGAGTAGGAACTGCAACCTTAGCTAGACACCCCCACATATTTAAAAATTTATAGGAAGGTTTTCGACATTTTTATAATTCACATGGTGTCACATTAGTTTTCTTTTGAGGTATTTTATTGAGAATATAATTTACGAAAAATAAAACTTACCCCCCACAAATTCTGATTTAAATCAGAACTTATCAACATAACATTCATCATTTCTTCGTGAATGATACCATGTTCTAAACAATTATAAAAGTATGGTGTTTTGTATTCACCACCTCTATCATTTCTTAACACCTTGATCTTTTTGCCAAGTTGATTCTCAACCTCATTTTTTGTAATGTTTAAACATTTCTAATGTTTCATCTTTGCTTCGTAGCAAATATACATAACAATATCTTATGCAACCATTGATAAAAGTAACGAAGTACCTTTTTCACCTTTAGTTGATACATGTTTAAGGTAATGTCATATACTTCATAATATTATATTACAAAATTAAAATAATTCAACCAATATTGAATTATTAGTCTACTTATATAACATGCTTCAATTTCATATAATATTGAACACATCAATATTTAGCATATTATCATATAATAATGTATAAAACATTATTTTATTATATCTCAATTATTAGTATAATATCTACTTATTTGTATCTTAAATAGAAGCATATAATAAAATCTACGCAAGGAATGAATCTATCTTAAGGTTGTTGGTAAATATATATGCTTCATGTAACATTTAAGATATAACAAACTTTATACTAATATGTCATAAGATAATTAACAATATGCTAAGAAATCATTAATTAAATATGCAACTCTATATTTAATTAAATATGCAAAATAAAGAAATAAAATAACAATAATAAATAAAGAACCTGGACCGAGGCTAGTATTGGATACTATATCATTAAGACAGATTCGCCCCGCTATGGTGCTTACGGACTCAGTGGCGTCTATCTCCCAGGATACAACGGTCTACATCCACCAGTAGCAGCACTACAAACTTGTGGATACGGCGAACCTTCTCCGTGTAATACTCTCTCTGACTCAAAAATGCATCTATACTATATATAAATGTTGAATTGAGTGCAATTCTAACCAAATGGTTCGGACCAATCTTAATATGGCTCGATGAAATTGGATTAGGGTCTAAGTGGTTCGGACCACTTAACCTATGGTTTGAACCCATTTGGGTTGGGTTCAATTCTAGAGAGGGAGATAAAAGAAAATGAAAATGAATGATTTACAAATGATCCAAAGGGGGTATTTATAGGCAACAATGTGCCTTTTCGGATTAGGTGCAACCCTTTGGAAAAAACTAAAAAGCAGTTTTTAATTAATGTGCATTTTCGGATTAGGTGCAACCCTTTGGAAAAAACTAAAAAGTAGTTTTTAAGTAAGTGCCTTTTTGGATTGGGTGTGTCTCTTCATCATTGGACACAACCATTTATATGTGTCTCTTCACACTGGACACATCCACTCCAATTGGTTGCAATGATTCATATAGTGTCTGTTCACCAATAGACACATCAACTCCAATAGGTTGCAATGGTTCACATGAATAGTTATGTTTGTTGGTTTTAAGTTGCAACCCTTTAGAAACAGATGCAACTTTTTGAAAAACAGATGCAACCCTTTAGAAATAGATACAATCCTTTGGAAATAAAACTAACTTTTAATTTAAATTCAAAAACTAACCACCCATTTAAACAAGCCCATCCCAAAATTAAAGGCCCAATCCAATATTCCATTTAGTAAAAAGAATAATTGGACTTTACAATTAGGCCCAAACCCAAGCCCAAATTTGGCTTATTTAAATTTCAATTAGTTTCAACATTTTTTTCATGTGGGACAAATACTTCCTACATTTTTTCCTTGTGGGACAAACACTTCCCACATTTTGCATACCCATTTAGGCTTATCAAAACACTACACTTTGTAACTAATTTCTTATTCACCTGAAAACGGATTTGAGAAAATAAATATATCACGTTCATCTCCTTACAGAGAGAAACACACTCGTCTAGAGATCCGCAAAAAATTATTAACAGAATCTATTCTAAATTTCATTCAAAGTTTATGTTCTTAATGCCCCCATTTCCAACATATTTCCCATTGGGCCTCTTGGGCTGTCCTGTATAGTTTTCTATAGTTAGCACTGGGCAAACTTTTGGGTTGTACTTTTTCCATTATGAATGTTAAATTTAACTTTCAACAAAAAAAAAAAAAATACATATCATGACTTCCTGAACCATTAATTCAACAAGGTCATGATAAAAATGTCGCATCTTTTTCAAAACAAAACTTTACACCAAACTCATATAAATTGAATTTGATAATTAGTATTCGGTCTTTAAATCATTATTTATTTTTAATTTTTAAATTTTCAAAATAACCCTTTTCTAATTAGAAAGATTCTTGGTTTGAAATATATATATATATATATATATATATATATATATATATATTAATTAGGAAGGTTGTTTGCAAATGCTGTATATCATAATAATAAGAGGAGTGAGAGAGACAAAACTAGGGCAAGATAACTTGGAGCTCCCGAAGTTACAATTAAATGTCATAAAAACGTGTTTTAAAACTTCTAATTAAACAATAAAAACTCTGGTGCATTTCTTACAAATCTCTTTCCTAAACAAAAATTCTGTTGTAACTCAAGACTCTCTCTTCCTCTCTATTCAGCCTTTGTTCCACCTCTTAGCTCCTCTTCTTCCTCACCTTTCATGCCTCATAACTCTTATCAACACCTTGATACAACTATGTTCAAGGACAAAGATTTCTCCATTAATTGCCAGACCCCAAAAACAATTACAGTTGGCTTTCAGAGAAATATACTTCATAGTTTCTTTGTTCAAGGAGGCTTTCAAGAACACTCCAATTAATGCTCACCACAATAATTCATAGTTCAACGACTTGTTCAAAAAAAAACTTGGACTTGACTCGCATTCGTTCGTTCATCTAGTCTAGTAAACAAGCTCAGTTAGAGCTCAATTTTCAAGGTCGCTAAGTCAAGTCCATATGAATATAAGTTTGACCCAATTCATGTTATTTTACTCTAAAGTGTTATAATTCTTCAGCCCATCATCCAAATAAAATTTCATCTCAACTATTAGATCCCAATAATTCATCTCAGCCATTGGTTTGCTTTAAGTTAAAGAGATAAGATCATAAAAATGAACACTATGTCTAAGTCGTCTTATCACCTGTGTGATAAGTCCTCTTCAGCTCCACCGCATAATCCGCCGGCAGCGGCAGCGCTCTACATGCCACACATCTCTCTATCTCTCTTAAACGGATCTGAAGGTGGAGCAATGGAACATATATATGTGGATCAAATTGCTAAAAACTTGTAAGGTTTGATTTCATCTTGAAACCTTGTTCTGTATTTCTTTTTCTTTTTTTTCTTTTGTTTCTCTTTCTGGTCGGAGATGGTGATCGGATTTGATGAAAGTAACACTTTGATTTCTTGTATTTAGGGATGAAATTGAGCAGTGCCAAACCCGGTCCAAGCTCGGCTAAGCCAATCTCTTAAGACTCTTATAGAGTTTGTGGTTGAAGAATTCAAAGATGAAACAATTATCATACTTTTGGTGGTATGCGCAGCATGGGCTCAAAGAAAAGAAGGATGGTATGACGGAGGAAGCGTCATTCATAGTATTTGAGAATACCACATTCAATAGCTATCTATGGCTTTTGTGTAATTTCCGATGTAATTAATAACATTCAGAAATTACTTACAAGTAGAGAGAAGCTATTGAGTGTGGTATTATCAAACATAATGAAGATTCAAATGATGCAGTAGTAGCATGTTGAAGGTCTAATCCATCCGTATAATTCCTCTTTGGTGACAGTTCTGCGGTCGGGCAGGTGTGTGTCACTAACTTCGTCATCCATCAGCCGGTAGATAGTGGATTAAAATCGACGGCAACAGGAAATATGTCCCATCCGGTAAGAGTTGTGTGTACAGAATTTTGCCACGTCAGTTAGTAATAAAAGACCAAAAAGAGAGTAAATCTGTTTTTACTAAATAGTCATGCCGTCCCATATTAGTTGTCAACTCTAAAAATTTTAAGTCATAATTTTTGTGAGGTTAAAGTTATCGAAATAGACCTCTAGTATGGGATATAGGTAGTATATAAGTATATTAAAGGAATATGGCTAAAAATAATATCAAATGATTCAAAAATAAAAGGTGGTAGTGAGTCAAAGTTTTTCAAATTGACAACTATTATGGGATGGAGGTAGTACGTATTAGAAGTGTATACAGACAAAGTCACTATTTGTATTTCTTCTCCTCTTCCACTTCTACAGGGATACTGAGTGGACGAAAATTCCGATTTTGAAGCGACTGAAGGTAGATGAACTGAAGAAGCCTTCGATTCTGAGGAATTTGTTTCCAATCTTGAAGCCGTATCAAACCCATAAGGTATTATTTGTATCAAAATTTGTCTTGTGAATGGTGTAAGGGTTTCGTTTAGAGAGAGAAAGTAAGCTTCAATCTATTGTATTTTGCTCCCAATCTTAAAGCCGTATCAAACCAGCAATGAAAAAGATCAAATCTTTCTCAAATCAGCTCTCCAATCCCCAAAATCCCGAATCAGAAACCCTAATTCGAACAGATATTTCTACCAAACCCAAAATCTAATTTAGATGTGGGAAAAACTAGGGAATGATAGGTTGTGGGCATACACGTCGATATAATTTTAATTTAATTTAATTTTAATTTGATTGATTATGATTATTTAGATGATTTTTTATAAGAAATATATGCAAATTTTACGTAAAATATCACATAATATTTGGTTGAAATTCAACATGAGTAAATATATTATCTTTATTTAATTTTAATTTTATTGATTATGGTTATTTAGATGATTTTGTATAAGAAATATATGCAAATTTTACATAAAATATCACATAATATTTGGTTGAAATTCAACATGAATAAAGGTATTATCTTTATTTAATTTTAATTTTATTAATTATGGTTATTTAGATGATTGTGTATAAGAAATATATGCAAATTTTACATAAAATATCACATAATATTTGGTTGAAACTCAACATGAATAAAGGTATTATCTTTATTTAATTTTAATTTTATTGATTATGGTTATTTAGATGATTGTGTATAAGAAATATATGCAAATTTTACATAAAATATCACATAATATTTGGTTGAAATTCAACATGAGTAAATTTGACATATTAATCTATCTTTAAACCCACAGGGGGTTAAATAGGTTTGAAGATCACAAATGATGTGTGATACCAAACCCAAAAAATTGCAAAAAATATATATATATACAGAAGTAAACTAATTTAATAGATCTTAAATTAAAGAAACCAAAAATAAAATAAACATAATCCAAATAACTTGTCAACCAGTTCACAAGTTAGCCTTGTATTTTGTGATTGAGAAAAAAATGGATCACAGTGTACTCTGTGATCACTTTTCTCTTGGGAATGTGGAGAGAGAGAGAGAGAGAGCAACTGAACATTTGAAGTGAAGAAGATGAAAAAATGAAAAAAAAAAATGGCGGGCTTTTGAAAATTGAAATGCAACTCAATTGTTGCCTTTTTTTATTATTATTTGGTGGACCCATATGTATAGTATAAGAGGCAATATCCAAATATATATACTATACGCTTTTTACATTCATATTTTTACTTTATATTTTACCCATCTTACTACTCACCAGCTCGAACAGATCACTGTGGCGCTGGAAATGATTTTGATCCGTAAATAGTTTAGGCAATTTAGATGAGAGGACTCTATCACTGCTAGCTCTATAAGGTCTCGAGTTGCAATTTTTTTACTTCTCCCATATATATATATATTTATAACAAACCTTCCTCAATTTATCAAAATTGCAAATTACCTCTTGCAACTAAAGTTGGAATTTTGGCTGCCTGAGAGAGCTAATTTACAACTTTTGATAAGGTTTAGTGGAATTTGCCCAAAACAATTTCAAAATCCATTTTTTTGTTATATGGGTTTAAAACAAAACTTTAATCTAATTTATCCCATCAAAACAAAACTTTTGAAATTTAGCTGTAAGTGCAAAATTTCGCTCAACCAATAATGATTGAGAAAAATAAAACAACTCACTCAAAAAACAATAAAAATAAATAAGAACGGTGTATAGAGAAGCGTAAATTGCTTGATCCCTTTATTGGAGGTCTAAGCCTCTATTTATATACAAAAGATTGTAAAATTATGGTAGGACTCGCGTTGCTTGTCCTCCAATTCTTTCTATATAAACATTCTTTACTAATAGAGTTCTTTCCATTGTCTAATTTTCCATACATAGAACTTGCCTTGTACAGAACTTCCTATCTCAGAATTTTCCTTCTACGGTAAATCCTTCAACTGGTAGGACTTGTGCATTCTTGAGTAATTGGGCTGAACATACTTTGATCCGGCTGGGCTTGAGTAACGGACCGGATGTTAAATATTAACATGTTGGGCTGATAATCTCTTAATTCGGGCTTCAACAGGGCTGAAGGTCATATAATAATAGTATTGGGCTTGTGAACAGTGATCTTGGACTAGTATCAAACTCAATTTGGGTTTGAGCGAGGTGGGCTTTATAAACTTATCAAGGATATGTTTATATTTATGATGAAGTGAATTATTCTCATTGGAGGGAATTTTTTTCCCTCCACACTTTCAGAAAAGAATTGCATGTCTTAGCTAAAAAAATTATTTAAATAAGATAACAAAAAATGGGCAATTAATTGCAGAAACGTACTTTACTGCCTATTATTAAACACTAACGGTAAAAAGAAAAGAATAACAAATTAACATTGTATGAAATATAAATATAAATATATATATATATATATAAGGGTCAAATTGCACTAAACACCTTTGTATTATAAAAAGAAGCAAAATACTCCCTCTACTACTATTTTGGCAAAAAAACACCCCTCAATTTACCAAAAATTGCAAATTACCCTTTCTGGTAGCCAGGAGTTGAAATTTTAGCTCCTAGAGGGGTATTTTTCAATTTTTAGTAAATTGAAGAAGTCCGTTGCCAAAAAAATAAATAATAGAAGGAAATATTGTGCAATTTTTTATAGTACAGGGGAATTTAATTCAATTTGACCTAAATTTACTTGCCAAATTTTTTTTTTTTATCCTAAATTTAGCTATTTTAGGCACTCACCCGACGCTTCTCCGAGACTAACACTTCAAAAGTTCCAAGACATTTGCCAATGCTTATCAAACAATTCATAATCCAAATATTATATTACACAAACTCATCTACAATAGTCATGTGCTTTATTTTCACTCTTTTTTTTCTTGTGAAACATAACTTCACCATGTATACCCATAGGCACACAGATGCATAAAATAACATTGTAGAACAACGAAAAGACTATTAAATTGTCTATAAAAGTGACCACTACTCTTCTTATTCATATCACATTAGAACTCTACTAGAGCAATAGCATCTGCAGGAGGAAATGCAAGAATGTCCACCAAGTAGATGCATTTCAGGAGATACATCAGGCTGATGGAAATTGATAAAAATCTAATTGACATTCGTTGAACTAAACACTTTAAAAGAAAAGAGGCTCTATCATATGATTACTGTGTAAGAGTATTGGAGTCACCATAAAAACGATTCGGGCATCGTTGCATTACTCTTAGGCTTCCTTCAGTGGTGGTGTACTTGTTGGTGCATCTCCATGAGACTCTCTGGAGAGCTTCATGTATACTAGCCCCAGCCGCCTCATTGACAGGTAGGCATCAGAGATCTCTTTCAAATCATCTCTGGTGAGCTTCTCTCTCGCATAACCGTACTATCATCAAGGTTTTTGATCTTTGTTGTTCCTACAGAAGTACCGAGGATAAAAACCAATTAGTCCTCCAGTTCAGAGATGTGATCACAAGTAAACATATATATTTCAGATCATATCCGTTCAGCTTTGTATTTTAATGGGCAAAGTACACAAAACCTCCCTTGACTTTGTAGTATTTTTCAGTAAACCTTTCTTATCTATTTTTTGTACCAAAAAAGAAAGAACCCCCATCGACTTGTAGGCTTATAGCCTTTTTCCAATAATCCCCCTTGTCTAATATTTTACCAAAGAACCCCCTCAACTACTGAAGGAGGCAACAGAGTTGATATTTAGACCAAATGTTCTTTTATTTAAATCTTAATTTTTTCGAACTTTAAAAATTCATATCTCATAAACCGTACATTTAAAAATTGTAAATAATATATGCACGGAAAGCTTATAAAATAAGGATTGCATAAATATAAGATTTGTAAAACAAACCTTCATAACCAGAGAGAAATGGGCAATCTAAAAATCTACTCCAACAATCTTATTTTATTTTTTAAAAATAAAATACTAGAGATATTTGTAAGAAAATTTTTAGAATTATTTATTTACATATGGAGCCGAATATATAAAAAAAAATTAGCCCCAACAGAGATCGATTTCATGAGATATCATATTTTGCGTCAAAATATTTTCATTCTTTTATAAACTCACCATTTAAAAAAAAATGAATATTCGGTCTCTATTAGGGCTAATTTTTTTATATGTTAGGCTCCATATGAAAATGAATAATTCTGAAAATTTCCTTGCACATAACCCAAGTATTTTATAAAAAATAAAATAAGATTGTTGCAGTAGATTTTTAGATTGTCTATTTTTATTTGGTTATGAAATTTTGTGAAACAAATCTTATATTTCTGGAATTCTTGTTTTATAAGCTTTACGTGCATATATTATTTGTAATATTTGGATGTACGGTTTGTGAGATACGAATTTTTGAAATTCGGAAAAAATAATATTTAAATAAAAGGGCATTTTAGTCCAAATATCAACTATTTTACCCCCCTTAGATAGTTAAGGGGGGTTCTTTGGTAAAAAAATTAGACAAGGGAATTTATTGAAAAGGGCTACAAGTTTAGAGGGGTTCTTTGGTAAAAAAAATTAGATAAGGAGGGTTTATTGAAAAAGATTACAAGTTGAGGGGGTTTTATGTACTTTGCCCTATTTTAATTGAAGATTTTTCCGGACATGAAGAAATTAATGAATTCTTCGTGCAAGTACCTATGCACTAAGTGACTCCTTAGTGACAGGTGATATGTAAAGTAAAATTTTGAAGCTCAGCCCTTGGTGCAACGATAAGATGCGGAAGTCACAAGTTTGAAATAGGAAACGGTCTCTCCGCAAGCATAATGGAATGGCAAAATGAGCGAGTTAGATGCTACTCAAAAAAGCATGTTGCATGATATTCATAGGATGTACTGCGAAGAGTTTTCAGCGGCATTTTAAATAATTGAGGGGGTGCTGTGGAAGAATTAAAAAATAAAAAAATAAATTGTGAAGGGGGGCATTTTAAAGAATTGAGTGGGAGCATTTTTTAAATTTTAACTAAAACTTTAGGTAGTAATATAAATTTTAAAAAATTCAGTGGAGAAATAAGTGAGATAAAAATGTGAAAGGGGGCATTCTATAAATTGAGTGGGGATAT